CTGAGAAATCCAAAACACCAATTCAAAAAGACACATGTACCCCTATGTTCAGTGAAACATTATTTACAATAGCCAAGATATGGAAGAAATCTAGGTGTTCATCGGTGGATGAATGGATAAAGAAGATTTGGTACATATACACGATAGAATATTACTCAGCCATGAAAAAGAATAAAATCTTGCCATTTGCAGTGACATGGATGGATCTAGAGGGTGTTTTTCAAAGTGAAATAAGGCAGATAGAGAAAGACATGTACCACAGATTAATGCTAATTTAGTTTCAATAATATGCAAAAACTTTGATCTAACATAGTTTCATTCTCTACTTTGAATTACATCTTTACACATTATAAGGTGAATATTCAGAGTTTTATAATGATTGTTTTATGCTGTTGTCTTTTAAGTCAAATAGAAGGAGAAAAAATTATAAACAAAAATACATTTATATTCTTCTATATTTACGTACATAGTTACTGTTACTGGTGCCCTTTATTTCTGTGTGCATACTTGAATTACTGCCTTTTGATTCTGACTCTGCAATTATAATTTCTTGCCTATTTTTTATGCTAGACTGACTTGCCATCACTTAATATTAATTAATAAGTTCTTTTAGAGGAGTGTTGAAGAATAAAGGGAAGTAGAAGAGACTGATTAAAGTTGAGAAGGGAAGTTCTTTTAAGGTTGAAAAGAACTTGGAATGTTGAAATTTAGTTTCAGACTCAAATATCTATCATAGTTCATCTGCATTTCAACACAAAAACACATAGTAGGTGCTTAATAAATACTTGTGGAATAAATGCACACGTGTCCACATATTGATTAATATCTAAGTGTTGAAACATATGAGAACTAGAACGTGAAAGAACACTGACAGAGGCACAGAAGGACAAGCAAACTAAGAATAAGCAAGACTTTATTATTATCTTAAAATATTTTTTCTTTATTGATTTTAGAGAGAGAGGAAGGGAGAGGGAGAGAGATGGAAACATCGATGAGAGAGAGCATCGATCGGCTGCCTCCTGCATGCCACTCACTGGGGATTTGGCCCACAACCTGGGCGTGTGCCCTGACTGGGAATCAAACCAGAGACCTCTTGGTGCATGGGTCTATGCTCAACCACTGAGCCACACTGGCTGGGCAGAATAAACAGGTCTTTAAAAGGAGGAATTTCAGAAAAGAAACTGTAGAATTTAAAGATGGAGTTAGTTCTCTGAGTCACACTGTCAAAGAGAGAATTTAAGTCATTGATTGTAGCAAAGCATTAGATAATTCTTTTAATGAGACTTAAAGTTCTTGAGAAAGTCAGACAAGGACACGCATTTTGCTCTCTAATAATCTTACTTAATTCCAAACTATGTAACAGATTCTATGCATCTTCGTAATTTGAGCAAATAGGACAGGTCTCCATTAATGGCTCACTTGATTTAGCCTATGGCACTTCATGCCTTGCAACTCTGTTTAAAGACATTAGCGATTAGAAATTGAGAGCTGCTCGGGCAGAGTTCTATGTAATCATCCGTTTGGGATTAATTTACTTTATTGTGAATGCTAAAGTGAACTCAGCTGAACTTGCCATTTTCTATTCCGATAGGTTTTGTAAATGTTTTTAGTTTCACAGTCCAGGCATTTACTGCAAATCTTATGAGTCATGTGGCTTGTTCTCACCAGGACAATCCATCAAAAGAATGTGGATTATTTCTAAACATGTAATACAATTTTAAATGTATTTTAGAGTTTGAGAAATGGAGAAATATAAGCTTAAATAATGGAGAAGAAAATTGATTGGGTTTTGGTAGTTGTTCAACTATTCAAACAAACATTTCTAAAATACCTTCTTTATACAAGGTACCACGTTAATTGCTGAGGTTGCTATTATGAACAAGACAGATTCAGGTACCGCCACCGAGATTTAAAATTATGTCAATCTGTAAATAAATGAATAAAACATAAACACCTATTATATGTAATGCACACTAACCAGTAACAATATAGGACCAGGAAATGCTCTTAACACTGAACATCTAAATCTAAATCTAAGCCTAAAATATTTTATTCTTACATGTTCATTAAATGCTTTTTCTCCTTCAAGAATATTTTAAAATTCTAATTTTTCACTGAAGATTTTTTCTGAGTAACTAGGCACTAGATTTCCTTTATTTTTCTGTATCTAAACTTTTTTTTTTAGCACTTATTCTTTTACTCACTTTTTCTTTTCTCATAAACTATTTGTTGAGCAACTGATGGGGGCTAAGCATGTATGTACCAATTGGAGGGATACAAGACGAAGGTGAGAGTGTCCTGTCTTCAATTTAGGGTAGGGGAGATAGACAAGTGAAAAAGTCATTACAATGTTATTTAAAAGTGCTACAAAAGCACTATTTCAGAAATTATTTCTGACTATTTCAGAAATTAGTCACATAAATTAATTCAACTCATGCTTGTTATTTTAGAAATACAAACAGAATTAGTTAAAAGGCTGCATAATAGCATACACTATTCAAATGTTTTATGTAATGAACGCTTTCTATGTAGTAGGCATCTGAATTAATTCATCCACTAAATGGAACAACACTGTGATGTACACATTAGAGAACTGTACTTTAAAGATGAAAGAGAGGCACAGAAGTTGAAGTAATTCACAACACTCATGTATTGATTAAGCAGTAGAGTCAGAATTTAAACCCATGCAGTCTAGACCTCGAGTCTGTATTTATGACTTGTCTGCACCCTGTCATTTCCAGTTATTCACTTGTCAGCTTCCTTTGACTTGCGGTGTCTTTCTGTGAGTCAAGGACACTTCCCTTCTGCATGGTCAAGCTTAACCACATGACTTGTTTTGACAAATGAAAACTGGGGAAACATACATATGCCAGTTCAAAGCAGAATTTTAAGAGGCATTCCACATTTCTTCTACTCTCTTGCCCTTTGCCCCAGGCCCAGAATGGCATGCTCCAGGAAGTGATGTTCCTTCAGGCTGAGGTTCGGAATGAGAGGACAAGCGGAGCCTAGCCCAGCCCACCTCACCACCGACATGGAACATGAGTGAAACAAAAGATTGTTTCAAGCCACGTACTTTGGAATGTTTTTTGTTGTTTTTTTAAACAGCTGGATAATTTAGCAAAAACTGACTAGTATGCCCCAGCTGGGTAACTCACTTGTTGGAGTGTCGTCCGTGCACCAAAAAGGTTGCATGTTCGATTCCCAGCCAGGACACAAACCTAGGTTGTGGCTTTGATCCTGGTTAGGTTGTGGGAGGCAATAGATTGATATTTCTCTCTCACATCAATGTTTCTCTCTCTCCCCCTTCCTCTCTCTGTAGAATCAATGGAAACATCCTTAAGTGAGAATTAAAAAAACGAAACATCCCAGCCAGTGTGGCTCAGAGGTTGAGCGTAGACCCATGCACCAAGAGGTCGCCAGTTCAATTCCCGGTCAGGGCACATGCTCAGGTTGTGGGCCTGATCCCCAGTGGGGTGCATGCAGGAGGCGACCAATCAATGTTCTCTCTCATCAAGGTTTCTTTCTCTCTCTCTCCCTTCTTCTAAAATAAATTAAAAAATAAAAATAAAAACAAAACAAAAATGGACTAGCACTATAATAGTTATCAAGAAATGGGCTACAACAGTAACAAACAGTCTAAAGTATGTGGTCTTGACTTCATGGTCAGGTGGAGAGTGTTAAGGAAATTATCCTCAGGAGTGGAAAACCACGACCTATATTTTACAGGGGTACACATTTGTTATTTTAGTTAAAAAACTGGGGAACAGAATGCTAAAATAGTGTTGGTACTGGTCTCATTCATGAGATCATAAAATAAAGGACTTCTTTGCGAAGAGAGAGGAAAAGAACAAAAAAGGAATTATGAGACATACAGGGTTGAAAAATATAACTATTATTCATATCCAACCACTAAAAGATGATCTTGAAAATTGCTTTGAATAACAGGGGCTGAAGAAGATTCAAATGAAGACATCCTCAGACAAAAAGCTAATAAATGGTTTGTGAAATTATTTTAATGAATTAAAGGGGCCCAATGAATTCTTCCAGTTGGATACAATGTGTCTGAGCAAACAGACTAAGGGAATGGCTTTTCACAATCCAGGTATGCTCAAAGCACTGGCAGTACATTTAGAGACAGAGATATACGCCTGTAAACAATGCCATTTAAATATATAATTACAAATATAAGAAGCTGAGTTTTATCCTTTGTCTATACCTTTATAAACTACAACATGTGTCTGTGTGTGATAGCCTATGAATCAAGGTTCAGCTTAAATGCTACCTGTTGTGAATGAGATCCCCCTTCCTTAAGCCTTCCTCTGATTCCCTGTGCTTATATTTATTAGGGTAATTTTCACTCTGCATCTGCCTGTTTCCCTACTGTAGACTATGAATTCATCAATGACACAGACTTTTAGCATTTAATCAGATATGCATGAAAAGAAATACAATAAACATTTGATGAATGAACAACTGAGTGAATTAATACATTAACTGGAATAAGCAACATTATCTAACAAATGTTAGTACTCCCCAATCAACACTATAAACAATTTGTAAAACACTAAATTCTGCTTGATTCTTCTACTGTTCTTAAAAAAAAAAAAAATTCTTTGAAGTTAGAGATTTAACCCAATAATAAAAATGCATCACATAAATCTCATGAAAAATATAATGTTCTTTATTTACAGTCTTAGGAAACTTTAATGAGATTTTTATTTGTTATTTCTCATAAAAAGTAAAATATATAATATTAGACCTAGACAAAAATCAATTCAATCACAGAGGTTTAAAATTTAAAGCCATTAAGGCAGTTCATAAAATACATTCACTAAGTATCACCCTAAAAATTGCCTGGACATATTGCCATGGCTAGAGTCTCACTGTTTTAGAAAAATACACAATCCTTTGCTAAGCATACTCTGTTGGTTTAATCCCCTCTTAAATCTTGTTTTCAAGCACATCCTGAAGAAAACAGGGAAATTATTTGATATACATACCTGTCGGCACCAGAGTTTGCGGAATATTTGCAGGTAGGCCAACACCATGAGACACAGTGGTGCCATGTATGTCACCAGAAAGAAACAGATGTGATACATCTTGGGGTAAATTTCACCTGCAATGAAAGTCATAATAATGAAACCTTTATAATTCATAGACACTTTTAAAGGTAGCTTTGTCAATGTTCTGCTTTCAAGGTATAGTTACTTTCTCTATGATTTCACTGGTACATGTACACACAAAGGGGAAAAATAATTTACAATATTAACTACTTACATTTACTCAGTATGTATATATGTTATATATGTATATATGTATGTATGTACATATATGTATATATATGTATGCATGTATGCATATATATGTATATATACACACACTTAAAGTGAAGTCTTAATTTCATTGAATGACTTGGAGGAATAACAATTGGTTGTTTCTTAATTTGTGCTGCCAGAGACTATCCAATCAAATGTTCATTTATCGAAAGCCCCTTTTTTTGTTTTGATTACATATGTCTAATTAATAAAAATTACATTGGGTGGTCCTATAGTTGCATTTACAAGAGGGGACACGACTCAATCAAAACCTAACTACTAATGCTTTTGTGAAAATAGCAAGAGAGTGTAAACCCAGGTGATTCCTCCTCATTAGGATATAACTTCCTTGAGAAATCGGATGCTATCCCCAGCTGTACCTTCAAATGTGGACAAAGTTCAGAAAAATAAATATGGCAAACATTGGATAATAATTATTTTTGTTGACTTACTGGGACATACACAAAGTTAATCTTTAAATATGTTGTGTGAGTGTGTATGTATGTATTCATGTACTTTCAATAAAAATGAGATTTTTAGGGTTTTTAACAGTTAGTTTTTAAACCAACATGGGTATTTTCTTTTTTACATCCTTCGCACTTATTAGACATAAGCATCTGTAAGATTATAGCTATTTCTTACGTATCATTAAATCTATGAACACAAGTGATGCTTACCACAGATTAGGCATTTATTAAAGGGTTAAGTTAATCAATTAATGAATGGCATTCCGGCTTAACATTAATTTTTTTTGTTGCTTTCCTAAAATATATATATTACTGACTTTATAAATGTTTTAAAGGATATTTTCTTTACACTAGTATTTGAATATATCACAGTGATCCAGCCACTTTTACTTAAATGTAAAACAGAAAATATCCTATATGGATTCCAGGGATATTAAATACAAAAATTAGACATAATTCTAACTGAAAGGTAACAAAACAAACATTTTTATATTCACTTCTAAAAACTGCACATTATTTTGACTTTGATATTAGCAATGGAGTTTGTTCCATACTGTCATTGAGGGATAATTATATCACCTCTGTGTATTTTATTATTTTTATTACTTCAGAAAGGGCATATAGAAACATGAAGACCCAGTTATGCCATGAAATGTGGTAAGGGCAATTTATTGTCAGGATCAATTAATAATATTGTGCCGATCACCATACTAATGATAACATTTACTGAGCAATCATTCAGTTAATTTTTACTGAATGTATTTTAAACATATCTTTGAATGGAATATCATCCATTTGATTTTCTAGCCTTATCTTCTAGAGTTGGTTGAGTTTAATATTCTCCTTATTCTTCCTTCTAAAAGTCTTTTTTCTCTGATACATATTTTCACCTACCATAATCTCCAGAGGGGACAGCAGGGTTCGTGTGCTGCTAGGGCGTCAAGAGCCCAATGTGTCCTTTGCAGCCTCTCTGTGGCCTGAGATACTCCACCTGGCTCATTGGTTTCTAACCACCTTTCAAGTGTATCCCGTAAAACAGGCCAGTTCCATAAAACGTGATAGAATCCCAGCAGCCTGCTGGAGGAACAACAAACAGCCTCTGCGTCTGAAGTGCCGCAGCCCCAGCAGCATTTGGTGAACCGATTTCAAAGACACGGGAGAGTGACTTCGGCACTTTCCAGGCACCCAAGTGGCTTTGAACTTCTGTTGGTTTTAAAGAATTTGTCACATGAGCTCCCCACATAAAAATATTGCTTTGAAGCTTACATACCTGTGAAGCCTTGATGTCTGCATCAGACTAAACTGAGTGAGTGGAGGAAGGTAGATTTTGACAGGCATTTTTTTTTTTTTAAACTGCAGCTATGGCTACCATCATTGTGATGACAGTTTGAAGTTTTAAAAGATAGGAGAGAGGCTCTTTCAGAGGTCAGAATATTTATACAAATACTTGGAAAAATATATAATTGGCTGGTAAATGCATATTATGATAATGAACACCCACACAGAAAAGTGGATCAAGCAAAATTATACTTTCAGGCTAGGATAGATTGTTTTAATAAAGAGATTATTATAGATAATTGCGGTAACATGATAATCTTAAATTCCTCATTTCATGCTTAGAGTCTAAGCTAATTGGAAATGCAGAAATACCATGGAAATTTTAAATGGTATGTGTTGAAATTGTCTTTGTAGTCTCTCTGTACTTGATGAGCAATGTCTTAAATATATTTTCAAACATTTATATATAACCTAGAATGTAGCTACATAAAATTTGTTCCACTTGAGGATAATCTAAATTAGAAAACAGCATTTTGAAGATTAACAACCATTAAAAATTGGTGTTTCTACTCAACCGATGAATAGGCGTATTTGAATAAATTCTTGTATATATATCAAACCAAAAATAAGGAGCAAATGAGGAAATTTATTTCAGTTGTGAAATCGGAGATTAAAGGATAGTATCATATATTAGATGACACTTTTCTCTCAGATGAGTTAAGGTCCATTTTGAGCCAACATGTTAATTTAGTTATCTGAAAACTACAAACATTTTCTCCTTCATGGTACACATATCAGAGATTTAATGGACAAGTAAATTAAAAATAATTTTCCAAATGTTTAATTTGAACTGCCTTATCAAAGCTGATGACTCCATTAAAGTTTACCTGAATCTGTAATATATTTTATTATCTTCTCCCAAATAAATATTTTATTAAATGTTTTAATACACATACATAGATATTTATATGTTTTCACAGTCTCATAAAAGACCAGATACATTAATAAATTTGAAAAGAAGAGATCTGTTATTATTTTTCTTTCTATTTGTTTTTTAAATCCTCACCCAAGGATATTTTTCCATTTATCTTCAGATAGAGGGGAGGGAGAGAGAGAGAGAGAGAAACATCGATGTGAGAGAGACACATCCATTAGTTGCCTCCTACACGACCCCGACCAGGGGTGGGGATCGAACTGCAACCAAGGTACGTCGTGTCTTTCACTGGAGTTGAATCCGTGACTTTTTGGTCTCTGTGCCCATGCTCTAACCCTGCTGAGCCAAATCGGCCAGGGCTCATTATTTTCAAACCACTAAAGAACAATTTGGCAATAAAATCCCAAAGGAAAGAAATGATAAATTCTCAGTGTTCAGAACTATGTTTGACAAATAGTACATGCTCATTAAACACTGGATGATTGTATAATGAGACAATTACATTATTGAATGAGTGCAAAAAGAAAGTTACTTTCCTCCCACTCAGATCCATCCTGTGAAATTATGCATTTATAAACCAAGCAATCAAGCAAGTATGGATATAATTCTAGAAGGATTTTTAAATTTTAGAAGTGTGAATTGATGTCACTGAAGCAAGCAGTGAACATATAAAAAGATATATTTTATGATTATTAAAATAAATAAGAATACATTTTATTTGTTTTTGAGAGTCGAATGTTCCTGCCAAAAGTTATGGTTTGTGGTCTTTTTTTTTTTTTTTTTTTTCTGAACAAGCCATGGACAATGATGAATATTACAAGTTCCATAAAATTTTACATCTTTTTGGTATATTCTCAGTATGACAGAGTTCTCAGTTATTTTGCACAATGAATGAGACAGCATTTTCCAGACTTTGGCAAAGGTGATTTGATAGATATTAATCCAGTGACCACATTGTTTACTGACTCTTTCCACACTGTGATATTGGTTGTAAGACAATTATGATAGCACTGTCTGCCTTTTAACTATATTATTGATATAACTTAGGATAAAGAAACACAGTTCACAACACATTTTTTAAAATTGTGCTAAATGGTATTCAGACTTTAAAAATGTTTAAACTTTAGAGAGCTGATGCTGTAAAATATAATCCCTATGTAGTTTTATGGTTGTAAGTATTGCACATGTCCAAATTATAACACTTTAAGTTGAGCATGAACTTATAAATACCCTAAATTGACAAAGCTCATGCTATATAAAAATTATTATAAACTAAATGTCTAATGAGCAAAATAAAAACCTGGATTCTTTTCTATTCTTCTTGAAAACATTTTGATGAACAATTTAATTTAATATTTGAAAGTTAATTTCATAGATTTTGTTTTATTTTAAAGATGATCAAATTCAACTTGGTGACACTTGTGCATAGTGTTTATAATAATTTTAAGTAATTATGGGCTACTCTAAAATAATTTTTAATTAGCTTTCCTAAATAACTTCTGAAGGTTGAATTTAGATTTTTAGGTATTCAACAATATTTTTGGGGGGGAGGAGGGATGTCCCTGCTAGACCTAGATAATAAAAATACTTGAGGTTGAAATGAGCTTTATATATTTATTGCTCAAACATAATTAGATGTTGATGTGCTTATTTACTTAATCATAACAACTGTCAAAATTCCCTAGCTCTGCAAATGTTTAGTTAATGGGAATTAATGCTACCTGATTATTCAGGGCAATATAAAAAAAGGTAAAGTCTCTAAAAGCTGCCTACAAACTTATACATGGAACTACTAAACCACTTTAGTAAAAGTATTACTGACACATTGAATAGTAGGTGGGTGCTTTATCAAATCACTATTTCCTTAAATCTAAAGAACCCCAACTTCTGAGTTGAGAGCTTAGATTTATAAACATGTACTTGGTTTGCTTCATAATATGGAGTAAACAACTGATGGTTCAGTTTCATTATAAATTATCTAAAGAATTCTGCCCAAGAGCCCAGCTGGTATGGCTAACTGATTGAGCATCAACCCATGAACCAAGAAGTCACCAGTTTGATTTCCAGTCAGGACACATGCCCAGGTTGTGGGCCAGATCCCCAGTGGGGGACGTGCAGGAGGCGGCCCTTCGATGTTCTCTCTCATCGATGTTTTCATCTCGCTCTCCCTCTCCCTTCTTCTCTCCCTAAAATCAATAAAGAAAAAAAATTAAAAAAGAGAAAAAAAAAAAAAAAGGATTCTGACCGAGAGATCTTCAGGCTGTTTCCAAACACAACTCATTGTAAAGCGATTGCCTGAGAGACATCTCACAATTGATTCCCAACCCACCTCCTTTCCAAACACAATTCATTAGCCTACCTAACCCCACGCTCCTGAAATTGTCAGATGGAACCCTCTTACTTTCTTCCTCCAGCGATGGTGCCCGGCGTGTGGGTTTTTCTGCATCCTGGGACACCGTTTCACCTCTTTCCTGTCTGAAGAAACCCTGCTCACCTTTAACGCTTTGCTGAAATGGGGGCCCTCTGTCAACTGTTGTCCCAGTGTTAGAATAGAAGAGTAAATCTCAACAACAAACAGGATATTTAATATTTGGAGTAATAGAAAAAGCAAATTGTGACATTTAGTTATTATAGGGCTCTAGGTAATGTACAAAATAATACTAGTGCCTTTTAAATTTAATCTTGCTGCAGTGAAAGCTTATGCCTAATTTTTTAGTTTCTGACCTTTTCCTCTTTTCAATGTTCTAATAAAAGTACCAGGGTGGGAATTCACGTGAATTAAAAAATTTATATACTTGAAAATATCAGATTCATAAGCAATCCCTTGGGTATACTGCTTGTTTGGGCTACATTTTCTAAATAAGCATAAATGTACAGCTTTCTAATAAACAATGCTTTCCTAATATTCAAATTCCATAATTATGGGCCATTGTTACACATTTATTCAGAAGAGGGACAGGGTTTTTTCTCTTCAAATTTCATGCAGTAATTCTGTAATGAGTGCCTGCCATGCTGAAATGCAGGAATTTTTTAAATTTCCTGTCATTCTCTGCTGGGTTCAGATTTGTGCCATCCCCAGGCACGGATAGGAGTGTCTCCACTGGTATGGAAAAACCTCACAGTCACTGAGAGTTTTGGACCAAAGGAGCATAAACCTCCAAGCTTCTTCTTGTTTAAATTCTACTATAATACATATCAGATAGGGGACAAAAAGGATTCATAATTCATTTAATTATTAAATTGTGTCATAATTATGCCAGAGGTAAGTGTTATTAACTTAATACGGTATGAACAGAGAAAGCAAATTTAGATGATTTGTGTCAGAAAACAGCGTTGGACCACACACTCAGCTCCTGTCATGTTTCCAGGCAGGCCATGGTTTTCAAATAAAAAAATTCAGCCCTGGTAAGTGTGGCCCAGTGGTTAGAGTATTGGCCTTTGCCCTAAAGGGTCATGGTTCAATTTCTGGTCAAGGGCATGAACCTGGGTTGTTCGTTTGATCCCAGGCACTGGTCCGGGCATGTGTGAGATACAACCAATTGATGTTTCTCTCTTTCTCCCTTCCCTCCCTCCTTCCTTCCCTCCTTGCCTCCCTCCTTCCTTGGAGGGAGGGAAGGAGGGAAGGAAGGAGGGAGATCCTCCCTCCATTCCACTCTGTCTAAAAAATTCAATGGAAAAATATCCTCAGGTGAGGATTAACAACAACAACATAAATTCAGTTGTATTTGAGGCCCATTAGGGAACTTGACACTTGAAATATTGTATCATCTTATAAAGTGTGAATCACTCCAGAATGCATAGTTGGATACATATAAATAAATTCTTTTGGTTTCAACAAAAATTATCATAATCAGATCTGAATTGTGGAATAAGCTCCTCCTTTCATCCCCTATCTGAAAACGAGATGACAATACACAGCACTTCTAAAGGACCAAGACAGTTGCAGTCATTCTGTGGAAGTACTTTGAGTTTCAACTTGGTTTGCATGCTTTTACAAAACAACCCTATCCAATGCCAATAAAATATGCAAGGCCAGCTTCACAATGGCCATGCAAATACAATTTTCAGTTTTCAGCTGTAATAGAAATGTCGGCCCCTGGGCCATGATGCACTTACCTCCCCAGCGCTCATCACACACAGTGAAGAGGGTAGTTTTATTGGCTAATCCTGGGAGCATGGTGCTGCACTCCATGACGATGGCCTGAGGGATCATTATAATGCAGGAGACAATCCAGATGACAACAATGCTGTTCCGGGCTCGCTTGGCTGTGCTCTTAAACATCAAAGGATGACAGATTGCGTACCATCGATCCAAGGCAATGCAGCTCAGTGTGAGGACGGACACAGACACGGACACCGTCTCGAGAAAAAAACAATAGAGTAAAAGAGAAGCACCCAGTATCAAATGGATCACTCTCAATATTTTTACCTTATTAGAAAGGTAGTCACCACAGATAACCATATTTGAAGTTGATAAAAAACATTTCATGCAGTGCTTTCCAATTAAAAATAAGTAAGCTCTGCCAAAAAATATTTAAAATGTATTAGAAAAAATATATATTTCTTATTAAAAATGAAAAAGGTACTATGAAAACATTGTAGCCTTTTAAAAAAATTGACTTTATAGAGAAGAGGGGGGGAGAGACAGAGAGAGAGAGAGAGAGAGAGAGAGAAACATCAATCCGTTGCCTCTCATAAACACCCTGATGGGGGATCAAACCACTACCTAGGTATGTGCCCTGATCAGGGATTCAATCTGCAACCTTCTAGTGTACAGGACGATGCTCCAACCCAGTGAACCATGGGGCTAGGGCAACACTGCAAACTTTCTGCTGAATGTTTTAATTTATACTCTGGTAGTCTTTGAGTGATCACTACCATGTTGAATTGAAACTTTTCCATTGATAGAGGAAATCATATCTTCAACTAGAAAAAATGAAACACATATGTTTAGTCTGAACTGGAAAACTGTCTTTCACTTATAGAGAATAACATGACATGTCTTTCTTTGAAATGATCATGCAGGAATTTGATTACAATTGCATTTAATTGGCATTTCTTAATTATGGGTATCTCATTTTATATTTTCAAATAGCAAAGGCTATTTGTGTATCAGTTCACTTCCAATATGTTGCATCTGAAGAAAGGCACGGGTAATGTTAAAAGAAAATTCTGTTTATAGATCTCTTTACCATAGTTTGCTCATTGAAGGAAAAGCAACTTGCTCCTAAAATTCAAATAAATTCACCTAGTCTAGATTTCTATAATAAATAATGCCACATCTAACATTTTAATTTGAAAATTTAAGAAATATTAAAGAAAGATGTTAAGCATGCCTACACCCACATGATCAAGTTATGCAGTTATATTTAATATATTATACTGGATGAATCATTTGTGACATCACTCTCAAAATCCCATCTATTTTTTAAAAATATGTTTTAATTGATTTTTTTTTAGAGAGAGAGAGGAAGGGAGAGAGAAATAGAAACATCAATGTGAAAGAGAAACATAGATCGGCTGCCTCCTGCATGCCCCTTACTGGGGATCGAGCCAGAAAACCTAGGCATGTGCCCTGACAGGAAATCGAACCTGGACCGCTCAGTCCATGGGACAATGCTCAGTCCACTGAGTTTGGAACAAAACTCTACAGCAAAAAAAAAAAATACTACTGTGTTTATTTTCCCTCCACCAGTGTGTTCCCAGTATTGGGCCCAGTGTTTTATGTGTTTAATATATCTATCTATCTAGATACAGGTATATCTCTACATATATTGAATTAATATATAGTTTCAAGTCTCCAGTCATAGATGCTGTCCAGTCATCTTTCTCTTTTCCCTTTTCTGGTTCTGTTGCTCTCACAACATATAGAAGGGTAGGAATCCCTGCTCCTTTCATCAGGACCTTCCTTGTTGATGCTTTGACTACAGGTGCATACCAGTGAAAGGCAGCTAAGAGCTAGCACAGTGTGGGAGGAAGGGCTCTGGGCTACGCATCAGGGTGACCTATCTATTCTCACTCTCCCACCAGCCAGCTATGCAGACTCCATCACTCACATTGATTTAGGCCTAATGTGTATGTGTTATCATTTTTTTTTTCTGTCGAGTGAAACTGACAGGATTTGATTCTTGCCACTTATTGCTTTGCTTCTCCCTGAGAAAGGCAGCAGTCATACAAGCAGGTTTTCTGGGCATGAATCCCATCTCACTTGATAAACGTGTGATCTTGGTAAGTCACTTAACTGCTCTATGCCTCAGTTTTCTCATCAGTAAAATTGGATGCTAACAGCAGGAAGAATCAGTTGAAATGTGAAATGCCCAGCTCTGGGCTAGCATATGAATGCTGTGTGTTTGTTGTTACTTATTATGATTATGGCAATGATAATGATTAATATGCCATCAGGGTTCTCTTTCATTCTCAAGCTTGGAGTTCTAGCTTTTATTTGGAACAGACCACATTTCAGTGAAAAATAGTCATAGAAATGACAAGTAAAGCTTAAACTGTGTTAAATTATTGGAGGTTAATTCCACTTTAAGTATAATCTTAAAGGGCTGAACTCTATGAGAGTGGCTTACACTGGCCGATGACTCCCAGGAATACCTTTGAGTGCATTCAATTTCTTTCCCAAACCCAAACCCCTTCTCTTCCCAACCTCCACTACCTTCTTGTCAATATGCCAAGCATCCAAGGTCCCTTAATACTATCCCTAACTTGGGGATAGAATTGTCACAGTCTAGATCTGCACGATTGACTTTTCATAACTGCTGGGCCAGGGTTACATTCAGCCAATCAAGAAATTAAAAGTGTAAAATGTTCAACAAGGCTTAGAGATTTATTATTCATAAATTGTTATCCATGTAGGTGAATGAGATAGACACAGCATGTTTCAAATGACAGAGTGATTTCTAGTGTTTCCCTCTACTATTAGATAGTGATAATCAATTCAAAACAGTTCACTTGAAAGACTGCCATCCAGTACCAACAGCCAAAGTGAAGAGCCTTCTCTGTCATGGGGCAGACCATGCTGCCATGGCTGGTCCAGCAGTCGAATCCACTGAGTGGACCCTTGGCAATCAGTAATTTAATATTTACTGTTTGACGGCTTTATTTATCGGTGTATAATACACACTAGCATTCAATTTACATGCTTTTCTTGGGGGTGATATAAAGTTTATTTTTCATAGTTGATTATAAATGAAGAGTTTTGTGCTGCTTTTCAATTCTAGGAGTACACTTCTGAGTGTGTTTCTCATTTAGATTTTGATACCCTCTCAAATCAACCACATAGTTAATCATTTGAAAAACGAGTCTAGGAGGGATTCTGAATGTTGTGCACGAAGTGAAGGTGAGATAATGTGAGTTTCCTCTGTTGTCAGGGGTTTGGTCTCTCACCCATCCTGTGGGCACGCTGTGGTCAAGATGATGTGGGAGACTTTCTTCAGTAGATATTGAGTCTGTTTATTTGCATATAGAAATGACCGAAGGCCTCAGAGATCCACGACAGGAAGAAGTGGAAGTTCTGCCCCATCCCAGATTTGAATGACAGGAACTAATAGATTGGAAGGTGGAAATGTATGTCTGAGAGCAAAGGAGGCTGTCCAACTACCAGGCGCCCACCACTTATATCTCAGTTGGTTTTTGTTCTTCTGACATTTCCTGTGCAGAGCCTTTTCTGTGCTTATGAAAAACAATCACTCTGAAAAAGGAGCCAACTGCTCCTCTAAGTATGAGAAAAAATTAAAATATAATTTTCAAGAAATTTGTGATAACTATTCAGCAGATAACCCAATACATGTCAATGGTCTTGGATTATAGAATTATTAATGATACAGAAGTGTCATTTTAATTATTTACCTTCAATTTGTTTTATTTGTGAGATTTTGAAGATTTTTCAACATTTGCCTAAGTAGTATAGTACATCACTCATAAATCTAAAGGTTGTGTTGAACTGTATTTCGGAAGAAAAGAATTAGCAAATGTCCAAAGAATCTTTTCTTTTGTCCTCACGCGAGGATATTTTTTTTCTATTTAGCTTCAGATAGAGTGGGAGAGAGGGAGAGAGAGGTGGAGAGAGAGAGAGAGAGAGAATCATCAATGTGAGAGAGACACATCAACTGATTGCCTCCTGCACGACCCCAACCAGGGCCATGGATGAACCAGAAGTGAGGTACGTGCTCTTGACCAGAATCAAACCCGTGGCTCATTGGTCCGCAGGCCAATGCTCTAATCACTGAGCAAAACTGAACAGGGCTGTCCAAAGAATCTTAAACACAACCAAATAACCTTAAAAATTGTCTGGGCATTTTGTAATATGTTTTAAAGTATTCAGAATATTCAGTAGGACACAAGTATCATATTAGGGACAAAAGCCATCAGTTCCAGAATATTACAATTAAGGAAAAGAAAAAAAAAACTACTCAATTTTAAATGATTGGCTTACTGACCACTGACACTGTTCATTCCATTTAGGGAAATGCTATGGAAAATAGGCAATACATAGTGCAAGAATTAGGAGATACTACTTTTACCAGTGTGTCAATATTTTTGTGTGTTTAAAATTTTCCATCAACAGGTAATGTTGAATGAGGAAACAAATAGATCTAGTCTTTTCCATCTGACATGGATCATGTGGATACTCAGCAGCTGTCTCCTTGGCCTATGGAGAAGATCAACTGAGGAGTTGATTAGACTGGACAGTGTTTGTAGTGAAGCAGAATTTATTAGGAGGTGAATGTTCCTTTAACTGTAGGACTGGGTAAGTTGTGCTGGGTAAAAGATTACGGTCAATGGCTTTAAGAGAGACTGATAGCCTGCATCACTCACTGTTTCCCATCGCTTCCAGTCTGTCCTCAGGTGCTAACAGTAGAATCTGGAATACCTCGTCTGTATCAAGGGACCCCTATGCACTTGAGCAGGACTGTACCTACCTTAGAGTGATACACCCCTCCCTCATCTCCTCAGTCTTAACAAAGGAATCTTCTGTTTCATGAAGAGAATATAAAATAGTCTCTCCCAGAAAAAAAGTTGATTCTGTGGAACTAAAGCCATCTTGAAATTTAAGAGGATTCCCCAGATTTCCCCCTGGATAGTAACTGGAACCAAGAGAAATACAAAGCTTGCTGAAAGTACCATAGGGCGATGAAATATTAGAATTCTCTGCTAGTATGATTTTCCCTTGTTTCCATGAAAACACCAAAAGACCCTGTTCTTATTGATTATTTTTTAATGAGGATATTTTTCTCTGTTGCTCAGTGTACTATTTCTCTCAAAGAATTTTGCTGCAGTTTATTTTTGTGACCCATTCATGGTTTTCAGCCAAAGGACACAAACTAACCTCCTACTTAAACATAGTGCTTGCAATGAAGCTCAAAACTTCCACTTATTATTTCCCACTTACTACTCTATCAAGAATATAAACCTAAAAATTATCACTTCTCTGTATAAGAGGTCAATTGAAAAACTATTGGGCTACATATATTTTTGTAACATTTCAGATCCAAACGACCGATAAATATAATTTCTATTCATGGGCTATTTGTGATATCCCCCAACATTTGTTTTTATGAAGATTTAATTTCTGGAGCACTTTTAAGATCACATCAAACTTTAGGAGAAGATACAGAGATTTCCGATATATTCCCACCCCTACATGTGCATAGCCACCCACCAGAGTGGTACAGCTCTTATAATTGATGAACCAACATTGACACATCATAGTCATCTGAAGTTCATAGTTTACATTGGGGTTCACTCTTGATGCTGTACATTCTGAGGGTTTAAATAAATGCATAACAACATGTATCAACCATTATATATTATCATTGCACTGCCTTAAAAGTTCTCTGTGCTCTGTCTAGTCATCTTTTCCAATCCTTGACAATTCGACATTTTTTACCTTCTCCACAATTTTGCCTTTTACAGGATGTCTTATTATTGGAATGATACAGAATATATATATATATATATATATATTTTTTTTTTTCTCAGACTGTCTTCTTTCATGTAGTAATAAGGTTTCTCTGTCATTTTATGGCCTGGTAACTCATTTTTTTTTTTTTTTTTTTAGTGCTAAATGACATTCTATTGTCTGTAGGTACCACAGCTTATTTATTTCTTCATCTACTCAAAGACATCTTGGCTGCTTCCAAGTTTTGGTAATTATGAATAGAATTGCTATACACGTTTGTATGCAAGTTTTTTTGTTTGTTTGTTTTTTGTTTTTTGTGGACATACATTTTTCAATTCTTTTGCTAAATACCAAGGTGTGCAATTGCTGGATCAAATGATGGGATTATGTCTGGTTTTGTGACAAACCACCAAACCATCCTCCAAAGTAGCTCCTCCATGTTGCATTCCCACCTGCACCAATAGATAAGTTACTATTACTCCACCTCGTTACCAGCATTTGGTGTTGCCAGAGTTCCAGAATTTGTCTATTCTAACAGTTGTGTAATGATATTTCATTGTGATTTTAGTTCGCATTTTGCTAACGACATATGCCGAGGAGCATCTTTACATATGCTTCGTTGCCATCTGTGCAACTTCTTTGGTATGTTTTTTGTTAAGATCTTTGGCCCATGTTTAAATTGGGGTGTTCATTCCCTTATTTCTGAGTTGTAAGAGTTCTCTGTAATTTTAGACAGCAGTCCTTCATTATGGTTGCCTTTTACAAATATTTTCTCTCAGTCTGTAGCTTATCTTCACATGGACTTAATATTGTCTTTTATAGAGAAGTTTTTAATTTAAAAAAACTCAGCTTGCTCAGCCGGTGTGGCTCAGTGGGTTGAGTATCATCCCATGGATTGAGAGGTCCCAGTTTGATTCCCAGTCAGGGCACATGCCTGGGTTGCCGGCTTGATCTCCAGTGAGGGGTGTGTAGGAGGCAGCCAATTCATGTTTCTCTCTCACATTGATGTTTCTCTCTCTCTCTTTCTCTAAAAGAAAAAAATAAAAACATTAAAAAAATTTAAAAATATATAAATAAAATCAGATTATCAATTATTTCTTTCATATATCATGCCTTTGGTGTTGTATCGATAAATCATCCACATACTTAAGGGCATTTGAGTTTTCCCTGTATTATCTTATGAGAGATTTATAGTTTTGTGTATTACATTCAGATCTATGATAAATTTTAAAAAAACATGTTTTTATTAATTTTTAGAGAGAGAGGAAAGGAGGGAGGGAGGGAGGGGAGGAGAGAAAGAGGGAGGAGAGAGAGGAGAGAGAGAGAGAGAGAGAGAGAGAGAGAGAGAGAGAGAGAGAGAGAGAGAGACATCGATGAGAGAGAAACATTGATCTGCTACCTCTTGCATACCCTACCCTGCAACCAGGGCATGTGCCCTGACCGGGAATTGAACCTGCAACCCCTCAGCGCATAGGATGACACTCAACCAACTGAGCCAAACTGGCCAGGGCTGTGATACATTTTGAGCTACTTCTTTTGAAGGGTGTAAGGTCTGTGTCTAGATTCATATTTTTGCTTATAAATGTTTAATTGTTCTACTTATGCTAAATGTTCATAATTAGAAGCACATTTCTGTTTCCCCCAATACTATGATCACCACCTAGGAGACTGATGGCATATGGGCTGAGGGGTGGAAGACAGATACGGGTATGGGGTATGAAATCACACACAGAAAGTGGCCAGCATTTTATTCATAGCCCAATTGCTAAAGGGCATCCATGTCTTTGAGTATTATGGCTGTGGCCCCTGGTGTAGTAATTTTTTATTTAAAGATTTTACAGCTATCAAAATATCAATTAAAAAATGACTCTCTGAAAGTATTTGTTTTTATCTTCTTGTAGGCAATTAGTTATAGGGAAGGTGCTTTCACCACTGAAAAATAAAACATCTAGTGATGAAGATGACTACTGATAGTTACTGAGAACACACTATGTTTTCATAAGATCAACTTCCAGAGGTTAATCACTATGCCAAATTATTTATATAAATTATGTAAGAAGACTAACAACAACTATAGACCATAGCTATAATTAAAATTATTATTTTTTTAAATAGGTGAATCACAAAGGTCTTATGTATTTGGCAGCATGCAGTTTGTAAGTGGCAGAACAGATATTCCCGACCCGGTGGTTTGATTCAGAACCTACCTATTTGCCATTGGAGCCTATTTGCTGTGCTGCTTTGATCACATGGCTCCTCGTTTCTCAGCATGAAGTGAAACCACTTATACAAACAGATAGCCCTCAATTATTTGGATTGGGAGAAGTTCAATCATTCTGAGACAGGCCAGTAAGCAAGGACAAGTGGAATAGGGAAACTGAGACAGATGGTGGAGCAAACTGACAGAGCAATTTACAGCAGATACAGAAGGTCACCTCCCTAGAAATAGCATCTAGACCCCAGTTGTATTTTAGCTCCAGACCCAAAAAAGCAGCAAACTCAGGTGGGCGACACCAGGAACAGCACTGACTAAGGACCCCATGCCCTGCACTGACCAATCAGTGAAGATCACGAGCCTGAAGGAGGCACCTAGAAAATCAATGGATATTCTGTTGAAATCTTCCCCTGAGACTTCCGCTAAGATTCCCACCGACAAGAGAAAGATGAAAGACTCAAGACAAAGAACCCAGCTCCTGCTCTCTCTCTGAGGAGCAGCCCCTACCATTCCCTTTCCTCTCTTCTTCCCTCATAGGCATCATCTCCAAACTCAAGGGATCCGAACCTGTTCCCAAGGCCCCTTTTTCTCTGATGGCCCAAAGAGCTAAGGCAGCCCAGCCTAGGCTCTCCTATTGCTTCTTCATGCTAAGCCGTTTCTTGTTTCACTGTCCCCAGCTTTCATAAATGTTCCCTCTTAGTCACCTGGACTCGAGCTGTGAAGTTTTTCCTGCACGGAGAGCTCACACACAGCTGGCCCTAAGCAGACCCATGAAGGTCCAGGTCTCCTTGCTGGTAACAATGACTTTGTTCAGGTTTGTTATTATATGATCAGAAAATTAGAGATGGAAGAAGTAAAAGGTGTATGCAGCATCTAATAATGACTTGAAGATGCTGTTGCTTTATTTTAACCCAGAACTTAACCTGTTGATAGGAAGTCTTTTACTTAAGTTTGCTGATTCCTTTATTTTCCATGTTTGCCAGTCCCTTGGGAAAGTCTATTTCTTTCTTAGCTAACGAGGTAACAGAGCACTATGACTATCATTTCAAATACTTTTTTAGTAGCTTCTGTGTTTGAACCAAAAAAGTTTCAAAAACAATTACCTGTAAATAAGGAATCACTTTACACAGGGACTGTCCAAAGAACCAGGTCTCAGTGATGTCCACAACCAGCGTGGCTGGCAGGCAGGTGATGGTCACGAGCACGTCAGCCAGGGAAAGGTTGACTATAAAGTAGTTGGTCACCGTCCTCATGTGGTGGTTCTTCCACACTGCCACACAAACTAATTTGGAAAGAAAAAGAAATATTAACTATTATGGACTGACTGCTTGTTTGTTAGGATGTTTACATCCTAACCTTCAAAGAGATGGTATTAGGGGGTAGGCCTTTGGGTGGTGATTAGGTCATAAGTATGGAGCCCTCATAAATAGGATTAGTGTCTTATCTCTGCCTACCTGTAAGGACACAGCAAAAAAGTCTATTGTCTATAACCTAGGAAGTGGGCCTTGACCAGACTCAAATCTGCCAACGTCTTGATCTTGGACTTTTCAGCCTCTAGATCTGGGAGAAACGCATTTCTGTTGTTTGTAAGCAATCCAGATTATGGTATTCTGCCATAGTAGAATACCATAATACCAAATAGGAAAAGACAGTCAACTAAACAAACAAACAAAATAGGCCCTCATGAGGAAACACTGTCAAGCCTATTAATACTTCTATAAACTCCACAAGTAAATTTTGAAAAGAAAATTTAAGGTTGTGCTGTGTTTTCATTGAATTGGTCCATCTGTGTGAACGCTGAATATAATATAAAATTGATTCATTTGCCTTGCAAGACATTTCTCAATGGATCTGAAGGCTGCGTTAGCTTTTATGTCATGTTGAATTGCAATTCCCAGAAGTTAAAGGAGAATTTTTGACTCTTTTTTCTGTTCCCTCAGTGCTCAACATGTAGTAGATACTGAAGAAATCTTTACTGAACTGAGATGAATTAGGAGCTATTGTCAGTGAACTGTATGTAGGGTTTTATCCATGACATTTACCCTTATCTGATTTCAAAATCTGCACCTGGAACTTCGGTAGATGGAAAAGCTAAAAAGAAAAATGTCAAACATTATTCAGCTCCTATTATTGCAAAATACTGAGCTAGACAGTGTATATGCTTAGGTTATTTCATTTGGATAACAACCCCAAGGGAAGACATCATGACCAACAGGAGGCCATTGAGACACAAGGAATTCATGGAACTTGTCAAGAAATGGTCCAGCCCTGGCCGGTTTGGCTCAGCGGTTAAGGACAAATGGTGCATAAAGCAGAGAAGAACTTGGATGAAACACCAAGTGAAGAGCTGGTCTTTAACAGCACAGGTTGCCTTCTTTTGTGGGAATGGAGGCATTGTAGCAAAGCACACGTACATTCTAGCAATGCAATCCTTCTTTCTGTTGCTCTTGATGGCCACTGATCATCACCTTAAATCAAACATCCTTTGCAACGCTTTCAGAGCTCAGCGTTCCTCTTGCCTGTCAGCATATCCTTATGTTTAGGGCTGTGCTATCTCACCCAGTTGCTCTTTACAAAAGGAACAATCAGTCCTTGATTCTGTGCCCTCCCTCTGTCTGGTGTATCCAATGGTTACATAATAACTGGCTTCAGAATTATATAGGTGCAAGTACTGCAACCAGGTTTATTGGTGGTTTGCTTCACTGAAAGTCACTGTGAATCTGTCTGAGGTATCATTAACCTGCCAGAGCTGTCTCCTGTGCACCCAAATGATGCAATAATTAGTAACCTTATACAATGAAGAAATAAAAGTACATTTTGTTAAATGTAAATCACTGAATGATGATTCCTTTTTTGACGATTATATATCACTTATTAAGAGTTTCATATGCTGAAAAATGCTTTTACTAGCTCCCAAAGCTGAAATTACCCTTCAGTCATCAAGATATGCTAATTTAATAAAATATCTGAATTTCTGGGGGTTTAATTTTGAAAAACTTTACATCTTTATCTAACTCCAGCATACAAGGACCCAAAAACTTGGGTGAAATTTATTAGGGCAAACTGTAGTCTTTATTATCTGCAAATGATGCTGTAGAATGATTTATTTATCAGAAACACTACACACACACACACACACACACACACACACACACACACACAGCCTAGCAGGTGACTAAAACATTATCAAGGCTTGTTATAAGGAAATTGTTAAAAAGCATTATATTGCCAATACTTGGTCAAGAAATGGTCCAGCCCTGGCCGGTTTGGCTCAGCGGTTAGAGAGTCGGCCTGCGGTCCAGGGAGACCTGGGTTCGGTTCCTGATAAGGGCATGTACCTCGGTTGCAGTTTGTTCCCAGCCCTGGTTGGTCGTGCGGGTGGCAGCCACTTGATGTGTCCCTTTCACGTCAATGTTTCTCTCTCTCTCTTCCTCTCTCTCCCTCCCACTCTATCTGAACAAAAAAATGAAAAAATGTCCTCGGGTGAGGATCAAAAAAAAAAAAAAGAAATGGTCCAAATAGCATCATTTTGAATCTACCCCCCCCCAAAAAAAAACAAACACCCCCCAAAACAAAAAATAAGCCTGGATAAAGCATTTCTAGTTTGTCTCCCAATTCTCCATATTTTAGAGGCGAGAAAAGGCAGTGATAAGAGATGGTGTTAACATATTCTGTTTAACCAGAATGAAAGCAAGGATTTTTTCAACCAACACTTTTATGTACTTTTCTATGCACCATGCACTGGTCTTAGCAATTTAACTTATTAACTAGTTTAGCCCTCATAATAACACTTTGAAGTGATGACTATTAATATTCCTATTTCAAAGGTGGGAAACTGAGACTAGAGAAGTCATGAAACCCACCTACGGGACATAGCCAGTAAGTGCTAGAGCTTAGATTTAAATCGTATCCACCATGCTATGCCATTATATTATGCCCTTTACTGAAGCAGAGAATGAACAGGAAGCAGCCAGCATATATTTGACAGAACTTTAACAGAGGTCTATAGAATTTTAGAGCTGGAGATCATTCAGTTTAACTTGCCATCTGATGCATAAACCACCCTCAGGAACATCCCCGATTCATCCTGCTTGAACATTTTTAATAGCAGGGAACTCATGAGTTGCTAAAGACCTTGCGTTCACTTTGTGGTGAGTTTAACTACTAGCAAGTTCTTGTTCATGTGGAGTTGATAACTACTTCCCTTTTCTGTCTGTTCATGGGTTTTTTATTTTTCCAGGAACTGAAGGAATAAATCTCATCTATGTTTTCTACATTACACTTCTATTAGTTTCCTAGGGTTGCTGTAACAGAGTGCAACAAACTGAGTCTCTTAAAACAACAGAAATTTATTGTCTCACAGCTTTGGAGGCTAGATGTTCAAAATTAAGGAGTCAGCAGGGCCATGCTTCCTCTGAAACCTGTACAGAAATTCCTCGTTGACTCTCTCCTAGCCCCTGGCAGTCTTCGGCGTTCCTTGGCATGCAGCTGCATTGCTCCGGTCTCTACCTTCATCATCATACGGCATTCTTTTGTGGCTCCATCGTCACATGGCCGTCTTCTTATAAGGACCTCAGTCCCATTGGATAAGGGGCCCACTCTGCTCCAGTAGGATTTCATCTTAACTAATTATATCTGCAAGGACTCTATTTCCAAATAAGAGCACATTCTGAGGTCCAGATTGTTAACACTTCAACATCTTTTCTTGGGGAAGACACAATTCAACCTATAACTCTCTGTCCCCTCGTCCCTAAAAATTCATGTTTTTTCTATATGCAAAATATATTCATTCCATCTCAACAGTCCCCAAATTCTTAACCCATTTCAACATCAACTCCAAATCCAACATTTTATTTAAATATTATCTAAATCAAGAACAGGTAAATCAGGCCAGTGTGGCTTAGTGGTTGAACGTCGACCCATGCACCAAAAGGTCCCCAGTTCGATTCCCGGTCAGGACACATGCCCAGGTTGTGGGCCTGATCTCCAGTGGGGGACATGCAGGAGGTGGCCAATCAATGTTCTCTCTCTCTCTCCTTCTCCTTTTCTCTCTCTCTAAAATCAATAAAGAAAAAAAAAGTTTTTAAAAAAAGAAAAAAAGAATAGGTAAGATTTTGGGCATGGTCCTTCCCAGGGCAAATTTCTCTTTACCTAGAAATACAAGTTATCTATCTCCAAAATGCAACGGTGGGACAAGCATAGGGTACATGTTCCCATTTTAAAAGTGAGGAACTGGAAAGAAAAAGGGCCACTGGTCTAAAGCAAGTTTGCAACTCACAAGGGCACGCCCCATTAGTTTTAAGGTTTAGGATTAATTCTCTAAGTCTTGGTGCTCTGTTCTCCTAGCCCGGCGTACTGGCCCTGCCCTCGAGGGCCTGTAGGGACAGCCTTCCTGGACTCTTCCTAGCTTCTGGTGGTTTGCCACCAATCTTTGGTATTCCTTGAATTGCAACCTCTCCCTTCATCATCACATGATATTCTTGTGTTTCTATCTTCACATAACCATCTTCTTAAAAAATGACCAGTCCTTTTGGATTAGAAGCCTAATCTACTTCATCATGACTTCATCTTAACTAATTATATTTGCAAAAACCTGATTTCCAAGTAAGAATACATTCTGCGGTCCTGGGGGTTAGAATGTCATATTATCTTTTTGTAGGGATACAATTAAACCCATAACAGTACCCATTCAAATATTTAAAGATCATAGCTATGACCATTCTCCAAGCCTTTGTTTACTAAGGCTAAATATTTCTCTAAACTCTCATGTTCAATTCTAGGGCTTTGTGTCCACATCACCCTGATACCTCTATCCTGAACTCACTCAAAATTATCAGTAATGGATCAAAATGAGCTATTGGTAACTGCACACGTTTCCAAGTGTGATCTAACCAGGGCAGAAAGGAACAGGGCGATTGCTTTGGTCAGTATCTCTCTATTAAGACAGCATGAGGTCATGTTAGCTTCCCTAACAGCCAGGTCATACTTTTGGAGATTATATATGTGTACAATGACTAGAAATTGGTTCTCTTGTGTAGATGCTTTTTTACTTTTCAATCTTGGGAAGAAAAATGAAAAAGATCTATACAGAACATTATTTGCACAATTGAAGAAAATTGAATTTGAACTTTATGTTAGATAGTACTGTGTCATTTTACAGTATCTGAAGTATGGTCTGCACACTGTTTACATTCAAATATTAAAGAGGATGGCCATGCCTATTCTCAAGACTTTGTTTCTTTGGACTAATTCTTACCAGAATCTTCCTATATAACAGCAGGA